AGTTGATCAATACGCCTTTTTATGTACTGACTACATAAGTAGACGTAGGTGATATCAGCAAACACGAATCTATTTATTTCTTATGTAAATTCAATGACTGAAATTGAATTGGGGGGGAGGAGTCCGTTCTGCTCCAGCATTGATTATTTTCATCATGTGACAAGTGTGATGTCAGCATAAAAACTTTGAAAGAGAGCTTTGATTTGCTCGGTGTGTTTTTCATGGTTTAGTCACTGAATTAGCATGCTCTAGGTGAGATATGGGCCTTTGTTTGAAGTATATTTAGCTGTTTATGCGGGCACCGCAAGTTATGCATTCCCTGCAGAGTTCAGCTCTAACCCTAATTAATCATGCCTGATCCAGCTAATAAAGACTACACCCTGGCCCTCCATGAACTGAGTTTGAGACCACTAATCTCAAGGTTAAAGGGGAAACATATCACTTGGTGTCTCACCTGTGCTCATGACCTTGCGGAGTTGAATGAGGCTTTTGAAGGTGAGATAAGAAATGTGGGCCGGGCTCCACTGTCCCGTGGCAGGGCTTAAGTTCTCCTCATAACCCACCCAGCGCCCCATTTCCTGCCACAGCTCCCCACGAAGCTCATTCAGCTCAACATATGCCTGAAGTGGACAAACAGAGTGTTTCATTAAGTGTTTTAAAAAGAAGTAAAAGACGCAAGTAAGTGATTAATCTGTGTGTTTCACCTCCGCATCTCCTCTCTTGATGGCATTGGTGTTGGTATTTCGAGCGGCTGAAAGGGAGATGGAATAAATGAGTATCGAACCAGGAAGATTTAAGGTTTGTGTTTTTATATATATGCATGTGTACGGCAAACACACCCTCTAAGTCTCTAGAGAAGGTGAAGGTCTGATGCTGCAGCTCTTCCTGCTGCCTCATCTGCTCTAAGTCATAGGTGCCTTTGTGTCCCCCGGGTGTCCTATAGAGGGCGACAGAGAGCACATACTACAACACACACCAGGACAAAGACCCGACTGTCACAGCTCCACACACTCACCAGATCTTATGCACCATAGGCCAAGCTGAGCTCCATCGTCTTATAAAGTGACTCAAGCCATCCCTGATACAAGAAACATAAACCTCACTCTGTCTAGCCCTCGCACTGCCCCGCTCGGCCACAAGGGCGCAACATTTTGCATCTTTACTCTCTGTAGTCCTAATGTGGAGTGCAGTCTTTTCTTTTTCTTTTTTTTTTTTTTTACCACCCACATTCATCACTACCCATGAAATTAAATATGAAAGCCTATCAAACAATCATTTTAATAATAATCCAAAATTTAAATGATGATGTTCAGATGTTTAATTAGCTTCTCTCAAAAATAAACTACATAACTATATAAATACAATAACTGACTGATAATTAAATAAAATTCGAATGCTATTTTGTTAAACCATATCTGTAGCATATCACCCCAAAAGGAAAATAAAGATTTTTCCAGTTTTTTTTTAAGGAATATTTAGATGTTTTGCATTAAAAGATTGTTTTGAAAAACTTGGAAAGTTGGAAAACTTTATTCTAATTTTTGAAAACTGATTTTGATTTATTTATTTAAATTGCAAAGTATTTATACGTCATGTTGTACTTCCTTTATGCTCAAACAAATTTCAAAAATAATATTCTAATAAAAAAACAATCAAAATTTCTGGCCATAAAAATGACTTCATTTCATTTGTGTAAACTATTTCTTCAAAATGTCAAATATAGTGAAGGAGACACAATTATATTTGCATTTCTATCAATATGGTATGAGTGTCCATATGATACTCACAAAGTGAATGGAGATGGTAGAGGTGACTCACTGTCCTCATAGGACATGTCATTGTCCTATAGAAAAGAGAGAGAGAGATACACAATGTTTTACTACACTGTATGACATGTAGCCTATAAATGTAAAAATTCATTGTACGTCAACCACTTAATGTGCTATGAGATGCTTTCCTCACCCCTTCAAACGATATGGTTTCCATCATCGAGACTGTCTTCTTTCTGTCAGAAAGTCTCACACATAACCTTCATTCACACAGAGAAACAAAATAACACAGTAAGACTAAGACCTGCGCACCTGCTAAAAGCAGTGGTTATCGTTCATTCATGTATTCCCCTTTATTAAAGTGTTATCATTTCAACACAGTTCTTGAGAACTAGAATGAGTTTTACCTGTAAACTCATGCCTCATACTCTCTTTACTTAATACGATTTGCATAAAATATTTACAGTATATTTAGCACATATAAATATATAGTTTATATAGTTATAGTTAGTTATATAGTTTCAAGTCTTTCAGAGGCTCAAAAACTGAGGCTCACCCCTAACTAGCACAAGGGCGTGTAAAAGCCACAAACAGACAATCATCTGAAGACTGAACTTCTATCGTGTGATAAGGACTCTTCTGTTCCTCATGGACAGAGGCAGATAGGGTGCAGAAGAGGGGTTTGGTGAAGCCCTCTCAACTACTTCAGCAGATAGTAAAAACAAATGTATTCCCCATTTTAAAAAAAAGGATTAATCAACATTTTCTAGAACCTCCTGGGATTTGTGCTAAACATCATGAGAGGATGAACCTAGTGAAGGGAGAAGAGAATATGAAGACCTCCGATGCAAAAGCCACCTTTGTCAAAAATTAGATAATGATATTGAGTGAATGCTCACTGCACATAGTATACGTTCATCAAATACTTTCAATTCAAACTCACTAAATCCCAGCATCAGCCCATTCTGAAATGGGTAGAAACCTATACATGGAAGCCTGATAAAATTAAACAAAATACTTTAGCTTTAGCTCAGACAGACTTAGCTTTTGTATCTGAAGTCTTCTGAATCTGAAGTCTTTTATGTTTCCTTAAATAGTTTATTAGAATTTTTTCAGCTAATTAGTCAAATACACTGAAAAAAAATCTGTAGAAATTACAGTATTACTGGCAGCTGCTTGCCAGTAACTTACTGTAGATTTAAATTATTGTTTACTGGCAACAGTTTAAATGAACATTAAACTTTAACAAGTCTTTATCTTTACAGAATAAAACTAAAATATCAGCCTCATGCAAAGCATTTTGGGAAACAAAATCTGAAGGAAAAAAAAAACAGAAAAAGGTTGATGAAGATTTCTGGTTCCCAGAATGCTTTGCATTAGATTGTTATTTTTTAGTTTTATTCTGTAAAGACAAAGATTTGTTAATGTTTAATGTTCATTTAACTTTGAACAAACTGTTGCCAGTAAATATACATCAATTTAAATCTACAGTAAGTTACTGGCAAACAGCTGCACCACAGCAATTTTTTACAGTGTATGCCAATGTGACCCTTAGTAGGTTCATTACCATATCAAACAAATACAATCATACACAGAACTAAATACTTTCCATTAAACAAAATACAAAATAATGCATTTTCTAATGCTTATTTTCAGTAAGATGAACATTTCATGATCTTTAGATTTGCAAACAAGTTTAAAGTTTAAGGAACTATTTTAAATATACAGCTTTGAAGAATTGCTTAAATCCACATTGCAAAAAAATTATATGAACAATAAGTTATGACAACATATGTTTTTCCATTGTTTTAACTCATGAAAATAAGTATTATTTTCACAGTACAGCATTTTCAGTACAGCAACTTTTTTATAAGTTCTAAAAGATCAGCTCTTTTTTAAGTCAGTTTAATGTAATTTAAGTTGAAATGACTTCAGAATCCCAAGTTTCTTGTACTTAAATTTAGGCAGCAATATATATATATATATATTCTTTTTTTTATGAAAAGTGTTATACATTCACAGTCTGCAGCTATAAGAACCCGAGTATGAAAGCTCATTTTCAAGCTCAGTCTTTTGGGATAGAAAACAGCTCTATAAATTTTCATGATTTGTAATCACAACATTATTTCTTTTGTCAAATCAACTTAAATAATTTATGTAGCTCAGATAACATAATAATTTAAGTATCTGATGATTAAATCAATCACCCTCATTGTATTAACTCAATTTTACATTTAAACATTTAAGGCAGCCAGGTTACTTCATTTTTTAAGTTAAACCAACAATTTTTTTAAATAATATATATATATATATGGCAAAAAAGTTTTATAGTTCTTCCAGCAACACTTCAAAATGACTGATAATGTACTGCTGCAAGTAACAATGAGATCTGTACTACTGTTAAAAAGACCTTTAGCAGGTGTCCCCCTGTCTGCAAGTGACCACTGTCTCATTCTAAAACACTTAATCTGACTGCTTAACAGAGCACAACACACACTTACCTGAGTCCAGGTGGTCCTGGCGGGTCTGTGCTGGGTGTCCGCGTCTACACTTTGAGTGCCCAATTCAAGACTGACCTCTGACCGATTCAAAAGGCATGGGTGGGGATGGAGGGGTAATGGAAAAAGATAGAAAGACGTAAAGTCACGTAGTGCGGGGCAACCCGAAAAGCGACAGCATGCGCAGAGCACCCAGGGGTGCGAAGGAGTGATAAGACCCCCATAATCAGTGAAATAGCCTTATCGATGGGGCCACCTTACAGCAGGAATACCCCAACCCTAACACCACTCCCGAAAACAGTGAGAGACATAAGAGAAAGAAAGAGTTTGAGGCCTAGTTTAACAAGCATGGTACAGACTCAGATAGGCTATACCTGTCCTAAATTAATTCTGCATCCTTATTTGACTGATTCAAAATGTATGGGCACGCTCATGTGAATTGTGCACTTTATTGCTAGCTGCCAAGGTAAGAAGTTATCTGCAAAAAAACAACAACATATATATAAAAAATAAATAACCCAATGCTCAAGCCACTCCCAGAACAGTAACAGTTGACCTGGATGATGGCCAAATTCTGACACACACACACGCACACACAGAGAGAGAGAGAGAGAGAGAGAGAGAGAGAGAGAGAGAGAGAAGAGAGAGAGAGAGAGAGGTCTATGTGCAGTGTTAATATGGAGCTCATCACTAGCAAGATACATTAATCATTAAAAAAGCATCTTGCCTTCTGACGTCAAGCTGTGTAGAGGTTAGGGATTCCCTTCACATCAGATAATGGAGGACACCCCTCCAAAGGTGTCTGGGGGGCGCTTGAAGGGGTTTCCCCCTCCACGGCCCTTACATCAGTTTCATATGTCACCGCTTTTTCCACTGAGTCACAGTAACACTGTCTCTTGAGCCAGTGAGAGCTTGTTTAAGTGCTGGAAATAAGTGAAACAAAGCAATAATTTGGGGTGTGTCATTTGCTGATTAACTTTTCTTCTAGAGTGATGATTCTGTGAAAAGGACCCCATTACTTAGGCCTACTGGGTGCTTTGTGGTCTTACTGATTTAATTAGCAGGACTGTAAGCCTTGTATTTGTTCGATTTAGCTGTGTGTAATGTAAAAGACATTTTAAAATGAAACAATTTGAATTCATTTTTGTTTACTTTTTCATGGGAATATCAGCCAATTTGTTTTTTATTCTTGAAAAACTCGAAGAGTCTGTTGGTTTATTTGTATAATTTAATTACAGTTATTACGTTCCTGTGTATATGAATGAGGGTTGGTGTTTTTTTTTGTTTTTTGTGGTGGCAAGTATGCCATGTGAAACCGTTGCCACTGAACTTACTTTAACGAGGACAGTGGGGCTCGACAGCCTTAGTCAAACGGGTTGGCGCGTATGGTTGGGTTGTGGAGAGATTGTGGTCAGGTCACATGTGAGCCAGCAGCAGGAGGCATACACTGATCACTCTTTAGAGGTACAAATGAAAGGAAAAGTCCCGGCTCTGATGGCATTGGTGGCCGTATATTGAAGAACTGTGCTGAACAGCTCGTAGACATTTTTTGTTTTATTTTTAGAATGTCTTTGCATCATCACACTGTTCCTCGCATTTGGAAAGACTCAATTATTGTTCCGGTGCCTAAAATCAAATCTCCAGTGTCCCTTAATGACTTCAGGCCTGTGGCGTTAACGTCACTCATTATGAAAACATTGGAGAAGATCGTGAAAGACGAACTTTTAAAATCTGTCCAAGATCTACTAGATCCGTTTCAATTTGCCTATAGGCCGAACCGGGGTGTGGAAGATGCTGTCTGTACTCTCTTGAATTTAATTCATACCCATCTCGAGAATGCAAAGAGTTTTGTGCGGCTGGTTTTTATCGACTTCTCTTCAGCTTTTAATTGTATCCAACCACATATTTTAGCAGGGATTCTGAAAGGTACATTTAATATAGATCCCTGTCTATTTGTTGGTTGATGAATTTCTTAACTAATAGGTCTCAACGAGTAAGAGTGAATGGTATGCTATCTGATGTTCTCCTTTCTTCCTCCGGCTCCCCTCAGGGCTGCGTCCTCTCCGCGATCCTATTTATTTTATACACAAACGCTTGCCAAAGCCGGCATACTGGGCGTCATATCATTAAGTTTGCCGACGACTCGGTAATAGTGTCATTGCTGACGCATAACGACCCTGAGCATGGTGCTATTTTAAATGATTTTACAGAGTGGTGTAAATCGTCTTTCATTAAGATTAATGAAACAAAAACTAAAGAAATGCTGATTGATTTTAGCACAAATTCTCACGCCGTCTCTTCTACTCTTATTAATGACCAAACTATAGAAGTGGTGAAACAATATAAATACCTAGGCATTATCATTGATGACAAACTCACTTTTGAGCCACAGGTTGACGCCATCTGTAAGAAATCACATCAACGTATGTTTTTTTATCGTAAACTTCGCAATTTTAATGTCGATAACACTTTTATGAGGATGTTTTATTGTTGCTTTATTGAATCTATCCTTTCTTTTGCTCTTGTGAGCTGGTTCGGGTCCATCACACTTAAAAATAGAAATAGGCTACAATATTTAGTGAAAGTGTGTGGCAAAATTTCCAATAACCATTTGTCCGATATAAAAGTCATATACGAGACAAGGACCCTTAAGAAGGCACAATCGATATTGGCCGACCCTAGTCACCCCTTGAACAGTTGTTTCATCTTATTGCCGTCGGGCCGCAGATTCAGTTTACCTAAATGCAAGACAAATAGACATAAAAATTCTTTTGTCCCTTCAGCTATAGGCCTTTGTAACAAGTCAATGTAAGTTGTAGATCCGTGTGTAGCATGTAATTGTTTAGGTGTTTTAAACTTTATTTTATTTATTAATGTTTGTACGGCTGCTGTTTGTATTTGTATTTATTTATGTGTATGTGTTATGTCATATGCTGCGGCACAACAAATTACCCCTCGGGGTTAATAAAGACTCCTTGAACCTTGAACCTTGAACCTTGAACTGATTTCATTCAGCTGCCATTTTGAAATGGCTCCGGTGGAACGAAAACTGGAAGTGTCACCTTTAATCATAGGAGAGTTGCAAATGCAATGGCGTATTGTTGCGTAGGGGAAGACTCATAAATGGTATTAACCCCAGTGACGGGTATGTTTAGGGAAGGGGTTGATAGGTCATATATTTATATATAAAGTAATGTAGTGGAAATTTGGAAATGCGATGGAAAATGGAAATACGAATTGGCGTGTCATAGATACGCCATTTCATGAGATCAGTCTGTTTTTTTAATATATATTCAGAACGTAAAAAAAGAAGTAGGAACGAACTATATACATATACTATATTGGATATTAAGATCTAATAGTTTAAATCGCGGCAGCAGCTTCAGGTTGGTAGTCCAAGACATTGTTGTCTGTACTTCCGGGATTCTTCCCACCGGAGCCTCGCTTACGATTTTTAAAAATGGTGGAAGCGTGAAATCAGCGTAATAGCGAATAACTTTACATCTGAGGCGTCCAAAGACTCCATTATTTATTTCTAAAGAAACATCACCATATATAAAATGCTCCATTACTTTGCATCTTACGTTACGGCCCTGTATAAGCCGTTTTTGTAAAAATAGGCTAAAGATTGCATCAAAACCACAGGACTTTCTGTCGCACAATAGAGACATTTCCGTATAGACAGGAGGAGAAGCTCAAGCCAATCTTTTACTGTCTATGAGGCAATCTGGGGGACATGAAGGCCATAAATAGAGAGAAATATTTAACAACGTTTTTGAGGAATTAGGTGACTCAGATTTGTCTTGGCACAGCTACTAGAAGATTTTAACTGTCAGACTGTCGTCAAGCTCAGTTTGAGCCCGCGCAGTCGCTCAGACATCAGACAGGAAGTGCAATAATTGGGCTTCAGTCTTCTTTGTTGAAATCAATGGGGTCGCTGTGTCTATTTCTTTTACTGTCTATGGCGTGTAGGCGCCGATTTATGTTTTACTCTGTGGGTGCTCATGGGCGCTGGCCCTTTAAGAAAAAAAACAACAACAAGAAAAGCCATTTTTTGAAAGCGGCCTATGTTTGCATTTCAGAACCTTACTCTTATCAGTTCTACTGAAAGTAGATTCACCTTTCTTTAAAGTGAATTTCGTTTTGTTTATCTTTACTACTCACTTTCAAGCCCACCATCCTGTGACATTTCCCCTCTAAAAAAAGAACAACATTTAATCTTTCTGACACATTATTAACACATTAAAATGTTTTCGGTTTAAAAAGACTTCCATTACAATTACATTGCCCTCATCAAACTTAAAATTTCGGTTCTGTTATAAGAAAAAGAAAATTTTACAAATGTTTCCCGTTTGGAATAAAGTACAAAAACATTGATTTTCAATAAAATTACAATGTGTGAATTTACTCATGTATATTTAAATGACATAATTTGAAATCTATGAAAGGATTAAAATAATGTGTAGGATTGTGGGGAAAACGCTGAATTGGGGGAACCGCCCATACGGCGATTACAGTCCTGGTACACTGGGCCTGAGGTGAACACATCTGGGAAAATGATTTCTTAAAAAAGTAGTAATGATACTGATATGCTAAAAAAGGCGCCGTTTGCTGAGAATGACTCAACATCCACACACCTAAGACCCTTTACCACTGAGCTTTCAGACACAAACATTCAATTTATATACAATACAAACAACTAAAATTCATTTTCAATATTTAAAGACAAAACAATAATGTGATAGACTGTGACACAACATTACCTGAAACATGGAGATGGCGGTAGCCCAGTGGTCAAGGGTCTTGGGCTGCCATAAGAAAGTTTGAGGTTTCAATCCCAAGTGTCATATACTGATAAAACAGAGCACTTCTGACATCTTCTTGGATCATTCCCACTGTGGCCTCAAGCAAGGAAGGTTGATCCAATACACTGCTCCTAAAAAGATCCAGGTTGATCCTGCTCCTAAAAAGAGCCACCTTCCTGCAGAGTTTAACTCTAACCCTAATTAAACACATCCCAACCAGCTAATGAAGGTCTTCAAGATGGCTAGAAACTTCCAGGCAGGTTGGAGCAGAACTCTGCAGAAAGGTGGCTCTTCATGAGCAGGAATGGACAGGTCTGTCCCTGCAATTATTATGGATCCTTAAAAGTCTATAGGGGAGGAATACACACCTTTATGACAGCACCTTTTCACTGGGGACATCAGGCAATGATTAGAGTCCACTGAAAACACATAAATGATGTAAGCATTCATGTGGCTATAGACCTTTCAGGAGGACATGAGTAATTAATGCTCAGCCCTGCAGTTATGAGACCTATTAAGGGATGGAATAACAGCATCTCCAGAGAAGAGCATCACATGACCTGTGAACAACATAACTGAAGCCAAGCGCCCTGTTGCATGATTACTGAGCAAGTCTGGAGAGACTCTTCACAGAGCGTATGTGTGTGTGAATGCTAAAGCAGGTTTTTGTGACTTGTAGTTTAATTATAGACAATAAAAACAAAGCTGACGTTTTCTATTTGCCAGTTACTGAACAAAGCTGTTTAGTAGGATTGTAAATATTTGCTCTGGCAATGATTCTGTGCGTTTAAAATTTGCCATGAAATGCACGATTTGATTAGATTCGTCTTTTTAAATGTTTTGCTTTAATTCATATTTGTTTCAAAAAACTACTGGCAACACAAATGTAACGGAGACAATTTTAACCAAATCTTGACAAAAATCAAAACTGTTTTACATCAACAGGCTCAACATTTGCCTTTTGAATGAGAAATGTAAGTATAATATACTGGATATTATAATTCATTAATTGAATTTTCATTGTCAAGAGGTATTAGTTTACACTGCTATTCAGTATTCTTGCTCTTGGGAGCATCTCTGCTCTTCACAATTGAACTAAAGTGTTTGTATGATATTATTCCCCCGCGTTCATGCTTTACTGCACATATTATACTGAACAGCATATGTGTTTATGTGTAGGTGTGCCTCTTCTGCAGTCTCTGGCGTTTTATGATAAAGATTGACTGTTCTGTGATAACCACACACACACACACAAACTATCACCGGCTGCTTTAAGGGCGTTTACAGTATGTTCATTTAGAAAATTATAGTGCGGTGTTGGAAACTCCCCTCTCTGAATTTTCCTCACATTATCTTTGCCTTAATAAGCATGTAAGCACCATTACATTTGACACTTTGATATAATGAATGTTGGTGTTACAGTTAGGGCCTAATGTGTGTTATTTCTTACAAAAGCTGAGGTGTGTTATATTGACTTATTTTTTTTAATTCACAATTTTCAAGTACACTACACAACTGAATCTTGTGAAAGTCTTGACTGCAAATGATTGCTAGTAAAAAAAGTATTTTGTAAGTATAAGAAATGTTCATTATAAATGGCTCCATTGAAATAGTTTTGCCTCCTTTTTGTTAATGCATGAACAGAAACTAATATGATAACAAATATACAGAACAGCAATGAAAAACGCCCTCTGCTGGTGAAAAACGTTTACGACCTGAAGGATTTCAATAAAATAATTTACTGTTGCCCTAAGTCGAAAACAGTATGATTATGTAACTTTTATGAAATTTAATAACAAGCCTAAAGCGAAGTGGTTTAACAAGTTATATTTTAGATATAGCCAATGTGACAAACCAAAAACAATCTACAAATATTTCCAGAAACTATTTATTTATTTATTTATACATTACATAGACCACAGAAATCATTATATAAATCTAAAATCATGAGCCAATTACCTTTGAGCACTGTAACATATATATATATATATATATATATATATATATATTCTCGTAAACTAAACTTAATTTACTTTTTATCCAATGATTAAAAAAAAGTTCTTACTTTTTTAAAATAAGTACAGCGAAAAAGCTAATGCAATAAAATAACCAAAATATGAGTTTTACATTTACCCCCCAAAATAATCAAGCAATCTTAACTGCCCTCTACCCCATTTTTTGTCTACTTAACTCATTGATTCTAATAACATTATCTTTGATATTCCACTCCAATTTAAGTAATCTTTTTATTCATGAGATATCATGCATGTCTAGTCTTATTCTTATTATTCTTATCCTACAATATTATCATTCTAAAGTTAGGTAACTTCTCTTCACTATCATCTTAATTACTCAACTTCGGTTTATCATTTTTTGGACTGAAGCCTCATACCATAACTTTTGAACTTTAAGCTACAGCAATCATTTACGTCCAAAAAACGAGAGCCATAAAGTAGACAGTGAAGATTTTCAAACCAAATAAACCATTTTCTTCAATGGACCAATAAGATGCTCATGTGGACCGCACAGAGGATGGGAGCTCATCTCTGCTGAGACGGCAATGAGCATTAGAGGATGATGCAATCTTTACGGTTTCTGGAGATCTTCTCAGGCTTCCCATCTTCAGCCTTAACAATGGCCTCCATAATCTGCAGGAAATGGACAAAAGAAATTTAGGAGAATTTAAAAAAACCCAAAACACAACACTTAAATATGTAGGCTAACTTTGTTTTTCAATGTCTTGAATGTCTTAAAATCTTTTGATTCATGTTTGCAAAACAAATATAAGAGTGTGCTGAACAGTTCTGGACAACTTTATATATTTCATTTAACTCAGTAGCACACATCAAGTCAAAGGATTCAACGTGTCAAAGGGAAACATCTTAGAATGCTGTATGGACCTCATAAAAATGATCCCAGAAGGTGCTCTTTAGTTGGGTCTCTCAATCGTAAAAATGAGAGAAGAAACAAGCCAAGGCACTTGCACTCAAATATCTTTTTCTCAATCTTTTGGATGCACTGTGCTTTACAAACTATTACACACATTATTTATAAACAAAGAAAGTAATATGCTGATGCTTACATCCTTATCATAAGGGAAACCACCCGTTTCTAACTTTGAGAAGATCAGATGTCCATTGATCTCGATCTCAAAACTTCCTAAAGAAAAGAGCGTATGTCAATATACTGGAAACAGATATGATAGTGTTACTGTCTATTATAAATGGGAATTTAAGTTTTAAAGAAGTATATTGGTACCCAAACAGTTTGGACACCGTTGACTTCCATATGGGGGAAAAACTACTATGGAAGTCAATGGGGTCCAATCCACTGTTTTGTTACCCATCTTCAAAATATCTTATTTTGTTTTCAGCAGAAGAAAGAAATCCATGCAGTTTTGGAACAGCTTGAGGGTTGGAAAATTATAGAATTTATTTTTTTTGGTGAACTATCCCTTTAAGTAAGCGAAACGTAGGCTATTTAGCTTAAAATAGAATTGGAGTCTCAGTTGAAAACAAGTTTACAAAACACACGGAGAACTAGAGGAAATTATGAGTAGGATAGCAGAGGACTCAGTGTACTCGACCTCTCCTGCCCACGAAGCCAGACACATCCGCATCAGGAAACTTCGCGTTGATGTCTCGCTTCAGCTCCATGAAGCGAGGCGCGTAGCCTCATCCACCGCTGGTGGGTAGAGAAGAACAGAATTCTTTATTTTCTTTCAAAATATGCGCAGTCATTTCTGCCAGGCTTTTCCAGTTACCACAAACGATCCCTTAAACCGGTTTTTCCACACCAGCGTGTCTGTCAATCAAGGGTCATCATCACCATGATGAACGATTTAATCACGATCCGGGTGGCTGATGAGTGATTAATAACTCAATGACTCGTTGTCCATGATGTAAATTAATTTTAAGTATTTTTTAATGTAAATACAGTATTATATTAGGTTTTAGCCGAAATTGAACTGCGACACAAGAACAAAAAACACGATAATTAAAGTAAGAAAACAACATATATGACTTTATTTTAACATTTTGGAGCATGCAATAAACCACGTTGGAGATGTCATGGACTAGCCAGACTAGTCATGGATGGACCACGCGATTAGGTAAACAATCGCTGGATCGTTTTTTAATCGATTCTTTAAAAGAACGGTTCAAAAGAACCGATTCGTGGTAAATATTCATACTTCCCTGACGCGTTCGGAGTAGGCCTACGCCACATGATCTGCTTCAAAGTGCGTGATTGATAAAGTGATACGCAGCTCAGTAGATTTTTGAGACAAAAACATAACACATTCCAATGTATTCGCATTGAAATAACCTGATTCGAATTTAAAAATCATAAGTACTTTAAAAACATTACACAGGGTGTAAATGAGCTTACCAGTATTCGACTTTTATCGTCACCACCATGATTCTTGTCTTTAGATTCTGACCTGTGGAGGTTAATAACTGGTTACTCGAGGAGACGAAAACAACACTGCACACAGCTGCGTCAGGACGGTGGATACACCCTGCTCACCTCCACCTGTTTAACACGCCCAGTTTCCAAAGCCAAAGCCTGCTGCTCACCTTTTTAAAAAATGTGAGATGCATTTATTATTATTATTTATTTGATGAGTAAACTAAAACCAAATACTGATAAAAAACAACAAAACGAAAACATCGTACCTAACCGTTTACAGACTATAGAACGCAGCACTGAAAATAAAAGTGTAACAATAAATTTAGATTCAATGTGCATTTTGATTCGTATCGTCAAATCGAATAATCATACCTAACATAAAAGTTTATGTTTATAAACAGTATGTATATAATATATATTATGTAGGTGTAAATGTGTACACATTTTATATAATATTATATATACACTTTTTATATATTTATATAATATATACACAAATTGTATAAATACAAACTTGTTAAATGTAATTAATTTGACAGCACTAATTTTGATATACAAATAAGTTTTAAAGAAAAAGCTTACTTTCATATTTAAAAAAAAAAATAATAATACCTTGAAAAAATTGTGATTAAATTTTATTTAATGTAAAAAAAGTTAAAGTTAAACAAGCAGCAAAACATTACACTCCTCTCAACCACAAATAGAAACTGCCATCCTATAGCACTACATTGAATTAAATTTGATATACCCCCTTAATCAAAGACAGAAAAACTACCAACTCCTGAATGTAATTTCCTATTGCAATTTATTTTTTTATTTAAATTAACAATATTACCATGCTGTGTCATTGACATGGTGTTCAGTAGTTTCTAAAAACACAAAACAATACGGTCATCATGCGGCAGTGTCTGCAGGTCATATAAATGCCCTTAAACAGCTATTTGGTTTAATTTAAAGAGAATTATTTCTATAACACTACATTGATAATAATAATAATAATAATAAAACAACTACAGCACAAAATACTTGCAAGAGGCAATCACCTGAGCTTTGATACCAAGAAAAAATGGCCTAATATACTACAGTATTTTAAACAAACATTTCAAGTACTCACCAATATTAAAATTCATTTATTTATGATCGCTTCATGCTGATTATAGATTGGTGGACATAAAGGGACACTTGAAGAATGACAAAGTATGCACTCACACACCCAAAGCTTTAGGCATTTCCTTCTTACAGCAATTGTTTTAGTACATTAGTTTATCATTACACAAATGAAAAAAAACAAGCGGATGGTCTGACTCCAGTAGGCAATGTGGCTTGAAAAAAAAAAAAAAAAAAAAAAAAAACACTTTAAAGGGATATTTCACTCAAATTAGTAGTCATTTTTCAAATTTATTTTTCTAAAAGTTTCTTTTTCTGCTGAACAACTATGGAAGTCAATGGGGTCCATCAACTGTCTGGTAACCAACATTCTTTAAAATATCTTCTTTTGTGTTCAACAGGAAAAAGAAACACAAACAGGTTTGGAACAACAAATGTAAACAACGTAAATGACAGAATTTTAATTTTTGGGTGAACTATCCCTTTAACCCTTCCATTGGCCTCCTCCTCACCGTCCCCCCATCTCACTCCTCTTGCTTAAAAGAAGCACAGACTGCAGGCCTCATACCGTAACTTCTCACTTTAGAGTTACGATATTCATTTACGTCCAGCAACCAGACAGGAGGAGTGAAGAGAAGGGGACATTTAAGGATCCTGCTCTCTCTAGAAGCTTAAACTTTGCTTTTTAAAACAGAATCGTTCAAAATCTTGACATACTAGACTTCTTTGAGGAGTGATTCAGGTGTCTTGAGAGCCAAAAGGGAAGGGTTAAGGGTTAATGTGAAACATTAGAGGATGACACAAGGAGGCTGGCTCTTGGTGATCTTCTCCACCGGCTGGCCATCGTAGGCTCTTTGGATAGCGTTCATAATCTTGTGGACGAGATATAGGAGAGATGTAAGCACACATATGGAAAAAACATTAACATTTGAGAAACCTGTCCAGTGGCGAGGAATTTACTCACATCATCCTCATAGGGAAAGCCACTGGTTTCCATCTTTGAGAAAATCAGTTGTCCATTGATTTCAATCTCAAAGCTCCCTGCACAAGAGAAACAGAAGGGCTGTTGTTTGCTGCTGACAATCAGTTTGTGCATAAATGGAAATCACTGCATGGTCATAAATCTGCAACATACCTTGCCGGCCGACGAAACCACTCACATCCGCATCAGTGAACTCAGCAGTGACGACCCGCTTGAGCTCCTGATAGCGGGGCTCGTACCCTCATCCACCACTGCAACACAAAAGAGTGAAGAGGAGATGTAATCTGACTGGAATAATGCTTCAACATACGTTTGGTTCCAGGAAAACTGACTATGCAAGAGACAGACTAGAACAGAGAGAGAGAGAAAAAAAAGTCAGAATCGGATTATCATAACCAGTGTTGGGAAAGTTGATTTTCTAAATGAACTATATCACTAGAAGTTCAGTTCATACTTCAAAAAATAAACTAGTTCATAGTTTTTTTTTTTTCCAAACGTTGCTGCAAGCTTTTTTTTTTATTATTGCCACAGCATAATCACAGATAACAATTATTTTATTGATGGGCAAAGTTTAATGAGGAAAAAACAAACAAACAAACAATAGGAGTGCGGATTACAACCCAGAACCTCTGACGCACTTGGCAAACGTTCTACCACTAGACCAGTGATTTTCAACCAGTGTGCCGCGGCACACTAGTGTGCCGTGAGAGATCGTCAGGTGTGCCCTGGGAAATTATTTAATATTACCTAATTAACCGTTGTTGGGTATCTGTGCAAAGTGTGGCAGATAATGTAATACTCTTCTATTTCAGTGGGTGGCAGCAGAGGGTGATAAATGCCTGTAAATAAGCTGTCACTCACTCTACAGAGTTAGTGCGCACGTGACAGTGACAGTTTGAGATCTCAGCAAGACGAGCAAGTGACAGTGATGGAGAAGTTTTTGAGAAGGAAAAATGCAAATGCCGAACAGGCCCCTGGACAAAATTCTGACCCAGATGAAGGCCCTTGTACGAGTGGTCAAAAGAAAAAAGAGAAGACGGTGAGCTTGAGGCAATACAGCGAAAGCTATCTTTCATTTGGATTTACTTTCACCGGGGATGCGACAGCACCGACTCCGCTGTGCTTGGTGTGTGGTGAGAAGCTATCCAATAGCGCCATGGTGCCAAGCAAGCTTAAACGCCATCTCCAAACGAAACACCCTTTCGTTCAAAATAAGCCGATTGACTATTTTGTACGCTTACGTACAAACAATGAGAAACAGGCAACTTTTTTGAGAAAAACAACAAAGGTAAACGAGAGAGCCCTCAAAGCTAGCTACCTTGTTGCTGAACTCGTAGCTAAATCAAAAAAGTCGCATACTGTGGCAGAAACATTAATACTGCCAGCTTGTAAAGCCATTGCAAATGAGATGCTCGGCCCTGACGCGGCAAAAGAGATCGCTAAAGTGCCTCTCTCAGATAACACCATTGCCAGACGTATTGATGACATGTCTGCGGACATCGAAACTGTTGTTTTGGAAAAGATGCGCATCAGTAAGAAATTTGCATTGCAACTTGATGAGTCGACGGATAGTAGTGGACATTGTCAGCTCTTGGCCAACGTGCGTTTTGTGGATGGAGAAGCCATTAGAGAAAACTTCCTATTTTGCAAGGAACTGCCAGAAAAATCAACAGGAGAGGAAATATTTCGGGTCACATCGGAATATCTTGACAAAAGCGGGCTTACATGGGAAAACTGCACAGGTGTCTGCACTGATGGAGCCGCAGCCATGGTCGGGCGCATCAAAGGCTTCGTAAGTAGGGTCAAAGAAAAAAACCCAGATGTTATGGTTACGCACTGTTTTTTGCACCGTGAGGCCCTCGTTGCAAAGACCTTACCAGCAGATCTTGCTCCTGTGTTGGATGATGTTGTGCGCATAGTGAACTTTGTGAAATGTCGACCTTTGAAAAGTCGTTTATTTGCGTCTTTGTGTGAGGAAATGGGAGCGGAACATAAGGTCTTATTGCTCCACACGGAGGTCCGATGGTTGTCGCGCGGCAAAGTGCTGGCCCGTGTGTATGAGCTGCGAGATGAACTGAAAGTATTTCTGACAAACGAGAGGTCCGATTACTCAAAAAGCTGCTTGCAAGTGATGAGTGGTGTGCAAAGCTGGCATACCTGGCTGATATATTTCATCATCTGAATGAACTGAACACACGGATGCAAGGCCGAAATGAAAACCTGCTTACAAGCACTGATAAAATGAACGGATTCCGTTTAAAGGTGCAGCTCTGGCAACAACATGTGCAGCGTGGCAACCTTGAGATGTTCCCGCTCACCGAGAAACTGCATGGCAACACTGCTGCAATGTGCGAGGTTATTGGCACACATTTGAAAACTCTCGAGGAGAAGTTGTCATTTTATTTCTCTTCAGTCTTCACAGAATGCCTTGACTGGGTTAGGGACCCATACAGCTCAGCATCCGTTGCTGGAAAGGACATGACTTTAAAGGAGCAAGAGGAACTCATTGAACTGAAACAAGATCGTGGTTTAAAGCTAAACTTTGCTGATCTTCCTTTAGACAGGTTTTGGTTATCTGTTGCCAAGGAGTTCCCCACTCTGGCCAACAAAGCTATTTTGACATTGCTCCAGTTTTCAACCACATATCTATGTGAGCTGAGCTTCTCAAGCTTGACTGCGATAAAAACAAAAACCAGAGAGAGACTAAGAGCTGTTGAGGAAGAGCTTCGTGTGTGTCTTTCCACTATTCCTGCCAGGATATCTATTTTGTGTTCATTGAAACAGGCCCAGGTTTCACACTAAGTGAGTATAAATACATTTAAAAGCTATAGTATTAACTATAGGTCTATGTATTAAATTGTTTACTGTGTTAGAGTGTCATTTTGGTTGGTGATGTGCCCCAGGATTTTGTAAATGTAAAAAATGTGCCGCGGCTCAATAAAGGTTGAAAATCACTGCACTAGACCATTAAAGCACACAATACACCTTTGCAAAATTCTCAGCACTAACAATATATATTAGTATATCTCACTAAATGACAAATTAAACCAAACACACTATTTAAATTGATTTCTGGACCCTGCCTCTCCAAATGCAAAACTGAGATTAAAGCTGCAGTAGGTAACTTTTGAGAAAACATTGACTTAGCCTGAAAATTTTAACAAGCACAACTTACAGGTCCCACCCACTTGCTCTCCAGTGTTGTGCATGAACGCGTTCAATGAACGACGTTCACTGAACTCGTTCATATTTTCGCCGAACGCTGAACTGAACGAATCACTTTTCATACAATGAACGCGAACTAGAGCGGCGTTCACTCTGTCAGGAATGAACGAGCAGCACGCGCAGTTCACGTTCATTTGAAAAGTCAGGTTTTACCTCCAACCACCGTTTTGAGTCCCCGAATCCAGGTATGTTAGACGAGGTCGAAGTATTCATAGTACGGATAGGGGGATAGGGAGTCGCAATAGTGTGCATACTTGGCGATCTGACCGCGCTCGCGCTGCTCGTATCATCACTTATGATCTGCGCTTTTCCATAACGAGTGATCTTTTGAACTAAACAGGTCTTATCTACTTCTGTTTGTGTGTCATATGAATAATAAAAGCCCCATACATGGAATCAGAGTGCCTACTGTATGTAGTAAGTTAAGTTGTTCAGCTGCTAGCTGTTCATTTTCTTTAGACAAATATAATCAGGAAGATTGTTTTATTATAAATGAATGTAAATGGCATTTTCATCGTTTACTCACTGTTTACTTCCTTTTGAAGGTGTGAAAATGTGTTGGTTGAGTATTGCACATTGAGCAGGGTAAGCCCAAGCTAATTTGACATGATACAGTACATGACTATTTTGGTCTGGTTTACATAGTTACTGCCGTTCAGAATATGCTGGATTTGTGTCAGTAGACTGATCTTTTCCCCATGAACCAGAATATACCTTTTTAAAGTCCTGGGTAATTTGGTTCATGCTGGCTAAATATAAGTTTCATTGAACATACAGTATAGCCTACCTTGATTGCACCTTGTATTTTCCAATTTCTACATATCATGATTATTACACATTATTTAAGGGGTACACATATTCTCTGTTTCAACATTATTTTTCTCCTGGCTATAATAATTGTCTCTTGTTTATTGGTACAATAATTTTGATTAGTTTTGGAGTGGCAGTGATTTGCAGCTGGTAATGGATGGTAAAGAGGTTCTATTGAGTAAGATAGTGGCCTATCTTAAAAAGAATTTAACAAATGAACGTGAACTAGTTCATTTTTAGATATGTGAACTTAGTTCATTAAAAAAAAAAAAAAAAAGTGAACTAGTTCATTATCATCTGTGTGAACTGAACTTTGAGCTAGTTCTTTTTAAGTATGAACTGGCACAACACTGTTGCTCTCTGCTGCGCTACAGCCCTCCCTTCACAGCGGAGACATGCGTTTAGGTTTAGGTTGTTTCTCCGCCATTAGCACACCGGCAATCTCGAGTTTGGTTTGAATGACGGCGCGCTGTGCAAGAGAGGGGTGTGATCAGCGTGTACACAAGCGTGATTGACACTGCTAAGACACTCCTCCTGGCTCTGATTGGTTGTTTCTGACCGGGAGCAGTGTATTTCTGCAAATGGCAATTTGCCGAAGTTACGACGTCACTCTGTAGGCCAAAACGTGGAAGTGAATTAGCATTTTAGCACTCCCGGTTCCCTTGCTCTAAAGTCAATGGGATTTTTGAATGGGTTTTTGCTAAATCGCCTGAAATAAGGTCTGTGGTGAACAAAACTCTAAATATTTTCACGTTTTAATCTATGACATAGAACACACAGTTATAACCATCTTGTGTTTTTTTTAAAAAACTTTTTTGTGTCTGCTTGTGTTTTTTTTTTTTTTTTTTTAAATATAGGCTTCAAAATGTATACATTTTGGATTAACTTGTAAAGATTATCTTGATAGACAAAACGTGTAAGGGTCACAACTCTTTGTTAAACACAGATCTTTTTTTTTTTTGCGATTTTCCAAAAGTCTATGGGGAAAATGCATAGCTTTTCGATCGAGGGAACCCATGCGCTGCTTTTTTTTTATTTTTATTTTTTTATTGCAACATAGAATATACAAAGAGATTTACATGACAATACAGCTCACAACAAATAGAAAATAAAGGAGAAAAAAAAAAAAAAAGAGAAAAATCATGCCAGGGGTAAAGTTACAATAATTTAAAGTTACAAAATACTTCATAGGTCTTTCTTGCTTTTTTGTTCTTAATTTTATCTAATGAATTACCATATAGTTTAATCTCTTTCATAAAGTGTTCAAAGCTTGGCTTAGCTTTAGCCCATTTTTTCACATGAATGTGATATTTTCCAAGTAATATGAAAAGTTGTATAAGGAAGCACATGGTACTTTTGGAGTCAACATTGTCCTGTACAAAAAAAAAATACAACATCAAAAAGCTCAATTCGTAGACATGTTTCAAACAACTTAGAAATGAAATTTGAAACATCCAACCAAAACATTTTTGAATAAATACAATTAAAAAAAAGATGAGTTACAGATTCATTGGCATTGCCACAAAATTCGCACAAGTTTTCAATATTCAAATGGAAACGTTCAGAAAGTAATTCCTTGACAGGGTAAATTCTGTGTACAATTTTATATGAAACCTCTCTAATTTTATTATTAATACAAAACTTACTAGTTATAGACCAAACTCTTTTCCAATTAATATTTTCAAATTTAGATGACCAAAAACCTGTTGAGCAAGGCAAAACGTTTGTTTTTAAAGTATTTCTAATATATTTGTTACTGCATTTATCTATTAATATATTAATATCCCCAATAAATATTGTGTCAAAACAAGAACTGATTTGACGATCTATAGGGCATAATCCAGGATTTCGTAAAAGTGAAATTACTTTGCCAGGGATTGCATCTAAAACAATAGCATTCTTTTGGCCTCACAGGAATCATGAATTTATTGAGAAATTCAGGATATGTTAAAAGTAAACCTTGTTCATTAAGCAACTGATTAACATTAAGAATTCCATTGTCGTACCATGTACCCATGCGCTGCTAGTTTACGAGTTGTCCTACAAAGTGACGTCATCACTTCAGCAGGACCACTGGGAGGAGCCAGAGGAGTTTGATTTTTTCACAGATTATCTGTCTCATATTCTACTGTCAGGACATAGTGACAGTTTTAACAAATATGTAAAAAAAAAAAAAAAACTTGTTTACAAAAGTTACCTACTGCAGCATTAACAAAATGCAATAATCCAGTAACAGCTGAAAAAGTACTTGGGTGTGTTTTATTCTACATTTACTGTTCAATTATGCAATCGCTGTTTGTCCCATAAAAGAACATGACAGCCAGTGCAATGAGGTGCTACTGAACCCCAATGGCTTACATGAACCACGTGACAGCCGGCGCGGCGACATCAAAGAGTGACGCAACTCTTTCTCTTTATGGCTCTGGATAAAACCATAGACAGTGGATAAAACCGTAGACAGTAAAATAAATAATAGGCATAAAACACCCAGAGGCAGAAAGCTGCGCTCCTGACTGCTGTAAATTTTACCTGCCACAGGATGGCACTGTTTGCAACACCCTCGATGTTTCTAATCTGTCCCCGAAACAATCAGAAAAAAGCTTCAACGATTTTAGAGGCTTCATTTCTCTATCTCTTCATTTCTCCGTCTCTACCATCTCTACTACTACTTAATACCCAATGAGACGGACAACATGAACAGTGTTGTTGTGATAACACAGAGCAGAGCTGGAAATCTGCATTAGCTGGCTAATCTACCACATTTCTAAATATATTTGACCCCAGTAGAGGCAATAAAGCTGGTAAATCACACAACATTTCAGATAATTTACTTATGTATATATTGTGAAAACACTCACCAGTATTCGACTTTTATTTGCACCACCATATCTGCGTCACTGCGTGCTTTGCGCTGCTATTGTAATCGCTTCTGCCTCTTCTTCTACTTGTTTTGTGCTTCCTTGTCTGTGACCGCGTTCACATGAAACTGAAACTCTAGCGACCCCTATCAGCTGAAAGAAGTACGTTGAAGACAGGACCTCGAAAGCGCAGCGCAACAGTCATCAAAACTTATCGTTGAAAAGCCACACGATGGCAGCAGGCATTAAGGCATTAACCCATTTAATCCCCAAATCGTCTGTGAGTGAGCCCGTGTTTTCCCACATCTTGCTAGCTTAATGATACAAACAAAGATTTTTCTAAGATTGGTAAAATTCTATAAAATTGGTAGTGAGCCTACAAAGTCATAATACACTTTAATATCATGTAACGATTTTATGCTGTGGAACAATCAGTTAGCTACTTTATTTTAATTTACTGGTGGGATTAAATGGTTATTCACTCCAAAATAAAAATGATCCCATAGTTTACTCACCCTGAAGGTCAGCCAAAGGGTGAACTAACCCTTTAAATGAGTGAACCAAACCTAAACTGAATTTCCTATGATCTTGTTAGTGACGCTTACATTATGGCAAAAGGCTGTTTGAATTTAATTGTTAAATTACAAGGATAATTATTTTTTACTTGTCTAATTAATTCTAATTCTGACATTCAGCTCATTTAAAAATGTAGCATGCGAAAGCAGAAGGCCCACGTGACGTGTATACATTTTTACCCAGGCCCTCTGTTTTACAATGGCCCTAGTTATAATACATTGGCTACAAAATAATGTAGGACATCCAAAATGCCCTTGATGACAAAGACATCAAAAGAAGTCAGAACATGGGATCTCAAACATTGTTCCACACCTGTGTAAAAAACATAGGCCAAAGCTTTTTTAGAACTGAGCCCTGATTGTTGTTAAAATTGAACACAGCTCTTCAACTGATGACTCACTCCTGAAGTAATTTTCACAGAACAGTGTACTGATTTTCTATGTCATTTGTCATTAAGAACCAGGTGGGTTTCAAACGAGACAGGGTGATTTGAAGCTGCATTGCACCATTATGGGCTCAAGGATGTCATACAGGACTCACTCACGACTCACACCACAACGCAATGATTTTGACAGGGCAAGTGAAAAGTTTGAAAGAGAGAGAGAGACATATGCATAATATTTCAAGCTTTATTTTTTGTTTCCAGTTTCTAACTTTCCCCCCTCAATTTATAAGACAGATAATGGTCCTGTATTTCCAAATAACAATTGGCAATTGTCCTGTAAAATAAACATTATATAAATGATAGGCCTAATGATTATTTTGTTCTACGCTGCAAGTTCCAATGCTAATATTTAAGTCCTAAATTCTTGACTTTTAAACATTCGCCTTTTACAAGACTAACAAGAGAGGAACAAAATCAATTCATCAAGGAGCAAACAATATTTGTAACAGTGTCAGGTTTATTTGACAATGAGATTAGGAAGCAAGAAAAGAAATGTAGAGAAGTTTTTTTTTTGTAAGTGCATAAGTACAATGGTTTAAGAGTGTAGTTAAGTGCTTGTGGAAGAGGTGTGTCTTCAGCTGCTTCTTGAAAGATGATGGTCTCAGCGGTCCGGGTGAGGTTGGTAGACGAACAGAGAACGTTTTGGACAGTGACTTTTTGCCTCGTTGTAAAGGAACAACAAGGTGTTGCTAATTCAGTGGCTAGTGACCTGGCAGGCGGAAATATACACTTGTAAACTGAAGTAGGTGGGTGCTGTTCCAGTGGCAGTCCTGAAAGTCAGCATCAAAACCTTAAATTTAATTTTGGCTGAATTGGTGTGAAATTAGGAGGAGTGTGGCGGGCTCTGTTTGGCTGATTGAAGACCAGACGTGCTGCTGCATTCTGGATCCCCTGGAGAGACTTAGTTGCGCTTGCCAGTTGAGCACTGCATGACAAGAGCTTGGACAAAATGTTGTTCTGCACTCTCTGACAAGAATGGTCTGATTTTCCTGAAGCTGTGAAGCGCAAACCTGCATGACCGGGCCATTGTTGAAACATGGGTGGAGAACCTCACTTGGTCGTCACACAGGGGTGGAGCCAGACAGTGTAAACCAGGGGTGTCCTGGAGGTCCACTGTCCTGCAGAGTTTAGCTCCAACCCCAATTAAACGCACATGAAACAGCTAATCAAGGTCAAGGTCATTAAAGGAATGCTCAAAAACTTACAAGGTGTGTTGAGGAAAGTTGGAACCAAACTCAGGACAGTGGCCCTCCAGGAGTGAGTTTGTACACCCCTGATGTAAACATTCGGGGGTTAGCCCAAACATAGGTGGGTCCAGGGGCATACTGCCCCTGGGAAGATATTTTTCCCATTTACGTCAACTAAATACACTATTTTTCAGGCTGTTCCCAGCTAACAGGGAACGTTCCCAGAACATTTACTAACGTTCTTTAAAAGTTGTGTAAATGTTAGGACAAAACGTTATTAAAATAATGTTTTTGGAACGTTCATATAACATTATTAACGTTCTTGTAACGTTGAGAGAAAACGTTCTTAGAACAACGTTCTTGGAACGTCTTTATCACGTTATTTGTATTTGATGAACGTTCTCATTACGTTGATAAAAAACGTTCTTAGACAACCCGGTCTCATCCCAAGACGTCATATAACTGACGTTTTGGGACGTCTTTTGACCATACGTCAATATTCGCCTTTTTAGGGCCCCCTTAAACGTCGGTAGATGAGGTTATGGGATCCTAACTCTACCCCATACCTAAACCTAACCCTAAACCTAACCCGTCACCTAACTGACGTTAAAGGTAAAGCGTCAGTTGTATGACGGCCCGGGATCGCCATCTACCGACGTTTAAGGGGGCCCTAAAAAGGCGGATATTGACGTATGGTCAAAATACGTCCCAAAACGTCAGTTATATGACTTTTTGGGATGAGACTGTGTTATCTTAGAACAACGTTATCGGAACGTCTTTATCAGGTTATTTGTGTTTGATAAACGTTCTCATAACGTTCCAGCAACATTATGCTAACCTTAGGATAACGTTCTAACAACATTATGCTAACGTTCCAGCAACGTTCTGCAAACATTAAGACACCGTTCCAGCAACGTTAAGCAAACTGGACATTTCCACGTTTTTAGAACATTTTAAATTAACGTTCCCACAACCAAAATGGAACGTTAGAAAAACGTTCTCAGAACCTAACTTTGTTAGCTGGGTTGAGATAATAGAATGCCTAAAAATACACTATCTGGGAAAAAAAAAGTAGAACGTACAACCTCTCCAGCTGCATTTAGTGAATCCAAAACACCAAAAATGTTAAGGATGACTCATTTTCACCCCTGGCAACTAAAAAGAGGAAACCATTATCTGACTATTTTTAAGTTAGCCTTCATGGGTAAAATTGGAATTTGGTGTAAACATCATTATTAATCTTAAGAGTTCAGTTCTGTTTAGTTTGTGCTTTGCTGAATCCATGCCATAATAATTTAGGCTGCTCTAGCAAGCAGTAAATGCTGCTGTGCAAAGTAAATATGCTCTTCAATACTCTGAATAGAATATCAGGCCAACAGAAGAACATTTGCTAAAATTATATTTGGCTATATTTCTTTGGGAAATAGCACAGCATGATAAACAACATGACCATTATTATGTTAGGGTACTTTATTTGTTTGACCACTGGTCACTTTTCTCCCTCTTATTTTTGTCGTAACTTCTCTTACTCATGCTCCACTCATCTCTGGAAAGAAGAAAGTATTACCAAAGAACATATTTCAGATCACAAACTAAAGATGCAAAAATGATTAAATGCAAATCTTATTTTCTTACATTTACTTCTGGCATCTGTGCTCCCTCATCTGCTCTTCTCTCCTTACTGCTACTACTTTCATATTTCTGTTCTTTTCATCTCATTTTCTTTGCTTTCTCCCTCACTCATCCCTTTCTTCTCCACTCCTCCACAAACTTTGTTATGTCCATTTACTTCAGCTGGTTAGCCAGTAAGCTCGCTATGATGCCGGTGAAACATGCAAAAGCCTGCCAGCCCCTGATGAAGATTTACATTGTAAAGTAAAGGAATCGTCAAACACAAACCCAAGGTTCTGAAGGGTTTGTAGGAATTACAAGAAGTTTCTCTTCACAAGGTTTAGCTGTAAATGAAGCTCCTTCGTCCAGCTACAGATGTCTGAAAGGCAAGCCTAATATTCAACGACTGAGCCAGGGGCTCCCAGAGCCATTAAAGACAAAGAGGCTCAGTAATCTGATTCATTTAACTTACAATAGAGAGAACAGAACTGGCAGGACTCTAATGCTTAACAGGTGATATCATCATCATAACCTTAAAATGTAAAACACAATGTACATAACTTTCTCAGTTTATATTCTATTGTATTGGAACCTGAATTAAACATTTAATAAATTTGTAATACAACTGAAGGAAAATATGTGCCTTTATGAGCATTCCCAGTGAAGTTGAGAAAAGAAGAGGAGCGAGCATTGGACCTTGAGGCACACCACCAGTGACTAATGCAATTAATATCTAATCTCTAATTAAAATCAAAACCTCCACACTGTAAAATTTACTCTTGTGTTAATGGCACCTTTGACTCTGAAAAACCGATAAACCATTTTAAAAACTAATATTTATGAATACTGTGAGCTATAATACTGTGAGTATACAAATATACTTGTTTCGTGTAGCCATATACTTATATTGAATAAAATGTCAATTAAATTAAATAAAACGACTCGAAAATCAAAATCAGTCAATTAACTCTCTCTTTATTTAAAAGGTAGCTAGCAATAGCACAAGCACACCAGCACGTACTAACCTATTAGCAAGAGATAAACAGCCATTGCTTCAAAACCTAGAAATATCAGAAACCCTTTTAAATTCCAACACAACAGAACATTAAACACTAACAGATTACCACATATTAAGTTTGAGCAAACACACACAAAATAACACGTTTAGTTATTTTAAATAACTAAAATAACTAAACCAAATGTAGTTATTTTAAAGAACATTTAGCTCTCCTTCAACAGTCAGAAGCAAAGCATGCTGGGAACTAGAAATCAGAACTAAAAACTC